TACCTCGCCTACTCCACTAACGAGTCTAGGGAGTCGCCTACGCCTACGCCTACTCCCTAACCCTAAACCTAATCCTAACACTAACCCTAACCCTAACCCTAACCATATCAAATAGTTACCAGGGTACGTTCCGGTATACCGGACCGTACCTAGGGTACGTTCCGGCAGTACCCTGGGGGGCATAGACCCTGCGTCTAACTAACAACTCTGTACAACTTCCAGCGCTCCGTGTTACAGTAGCAAGGATGAAGACTATATCGCGTGAATGCTGGATGCTGGGTGCTGCGATCTAGCTTTCGATACGTTTCGCTGGCGTGTATCGCACACTGCTGGTGACTATGCAGCCTGGCTACTGCGTTTCCTTGGCTCACCCTCAGTCCTGTAGTTCTACTGCTAGTCTCTGTCCTGTAGTCCTACTGCTAGTTCTAGTAGTTAAGCCTTTTAACTAGTCCTTTTAACTAGCCTTTTTTATAGTAAAAAATCCCCTCGTTGCCCACTGGCAAAGGCACTGCTCATGTGGCAGTGGCAACGAGGGCTATAGTACTAGCGTCCTATAGACACAGCTAGGTGATGAGATATAGAACGGAGACGGAGCACGATGGGGGTTTCATTGCTCGTGGACGTGCGCGGAGAATTCTCATAGCGCGAGATCTAAGAGCAATCAGTATGAGTGCATATAGCTGTAGGTGCTTAGGCCCCTATCTCTGCCGAGCCACACACTCGGGGAGAGATGAGAGGAGAAAGCTATTAGAAGATGGTGAGGGGTGGAATTGCTCCCCGTAGGAAATACGTACAGCGGAACATTGTGCCGCCAGCCCAACGAAAGGTCCTCCGCTGTATGTGTAACAGGAGTGTGTAATATAGATGATATATAGCATACGCTATTATAGATATATTGTAGATATGCTGTAGATATTGTCAAATAAAATAGTCTATATTATACACGCCTGCCATTCGTATTAGAATGCAATAGCAGTGCAGCGTGCTTGATAATGAGTGAAATCGAAATGATATCATTTCGATATCATGGTACATAGCTGGTACGATAGCTGGGTTACATGGTACGATAGCTGGTACGATGGTAGCTTAGACAGGGGCGTAGCGCGCTCCACGCAGCGCGATTTTGAAAGTCTTGTAGCACGACTCACCTGACGCGGAAGCGCACCTCGGTTGCGCGGAGCGCAACAAGAAAATTTTGGTTTTACAAACCCCCCCCCCAGATGGCCGAAACGCACCTTCGCGAGGTTCATTCGTTCCCTGGCCTCGTGCTAACTGAGACACCTCATTCAATAATAAACACAAAAAACACAAACGAGTTAAAATGTTAAAAAGCTGACAAGATCGGATCCTAGTATTTTTCGGCGGGTAGAGTGTTGAATGAAACGGCACGCGATAGAAATGACAGCCTAGATGACAGAAGAATAGGTCACCTAATTTAGCCATATTCTTGCTACGTTCATTTCAATAGTTTTTCCTGCCTAGACTCTTAAAACTCGTCCAGCAAGCTTATGGATTTGAATTATGGGTGTTTTAAAAAAAAAGATAACTTGGCCAAAAAAAGTGTAGGCCCGGGCCTACAGTGAGTGCTACATACTGGCTACGCCCCTGATAGAGACTTGTACTAGACTACTAGTAGTACAGTAGTATCGTCTGTCTACAGTTGCATTTTGCAATCGTGTCTAGGAAGAGCACCCAGCGCCACCTATCGTGAATATAAGTGTTCGTCACGCTCTCGTAGCACTCACTGTGCATGTACATGCTAGCAGCACAATAATTTTAATGCTTTTAATAATGCTTAAGTAATAATGCTTTTAATGCTTTTAATAATGCTTTTAATAACGCTTAAGTAATTAATAATGCTTTTAAACACGTTACGGCAACACGTTTCCTGCTGCTTTTCTTTCCGATTCACCAAAGTTTGCAAATAATTGGGTTTTATCACTTTTACAGGATTCGTTCATGACTGGGGCACAAAACCAGCATTGCCAGCATTCCAAGATTTTGCACAGCTGCGACCCAAAGGGCTAGGACAGAACGTTAATTAATGAAACCTTATTAAATAAAATATACCGAAGCGAAGCTGGCTTTTGTGAGACGCAATTAAGTTCAAGCTCAAGTTTATTGACATGATAAAGGCATGTCATGTGAAACGTGTAGCAGTTGCTTATTGAATGTGGTGTAGAAACAGAGTTATAGTTACTACGGTGAGTTACCTTTCTTTCTAAAGGCACATTTTATTAACACAAACTGGAATGATGACAGAGCATATTATAACAAATTAGTAGAGAAAACAGTGGAATTTCCCAAGATGGCTACTTTTTACTATTATTTATGAATAGCAGGGTCAAAATAGCAAATGAGACTAAATTCTCACTTTTCATGTACAATTCCCTGTAGCTTAGCCAAATCACTCACTTAGTCCGATTCACATTAAATACACGCTTCAAACTTGATCAATATAAATTACAAATTGATAAAAACCATCTTTCCAATTTAAATTTCCAACGTTCCACGTAATAAATCGACTAAATCACAGATGTTACATACATATCCGCCCCTCATTAAACAATGTGGAAGTATATTACCGCGTTTCGTGCCCAACGTAGTACACGCTTTCTCTGACAAGATGTCTCCAACAATCATTTTGCATCCTAGAAGCTGCTGAAGCTTGGTGTGGTGGACATTCTTATCTGTGTTTTCGCTACCGTACGGTATGTTACACAATTCAGTGGAATAGCCTATAGTATACAGGGACCCTAGCCTATAGTATATACTAACCATAGAAATAATATAGGTAGACTATGTGTCTCTATGTGCCTCTAGTTGTCTCTAGGTGTCTCTATGATACTAACCAATGTCAACCTACGCTCATAGTCAGAGGGCACATGAAATACAAGGAATTTTAACGTCCGCTAAAAGTTGTTCGTTAACGAACGAAAGTTGTCCGGAGGCATAGCGGACAACACACACACGCACGCACGCACGCACGCACGCACGCACGCACGCACACACGCAAACGCACTCACACACACACGCACACACACACACACAC